AAACGTTATTTTTACAATATTAACAGCTAATGTAGCAAAATTATGGTAATTTTAGAGATCAGCGCACCAGAATTACCCTGGAAAAGTTATTGGCCACCCTTTAGCAAATAAAAAATTTCCTTTTGTCAACCAGTGTAAATATTAACGTTCATAAATGGTATTAAAAAGTTTAGCCAATTGGTGTATTTTAAACATAAAGCTGTTCTGAATTACCTCCCACCGAGCCCTTAGCAATGGAAATAAAAAATAGAGAAGTTTCGTTTGTTCTCTCTTTAATTTGTGCTTTTATTTCTCATCCTAGGTTTCTCATTAAAACTCAATCCTCGCTATAGCAAAGCATTTAGATGTGGCTATAGTTTACAAAAGTGCATTGATTCTTGATGCACTTGCTGCCAAACTTTTTCTCCACTTTTCGCTTGGTTTCATTCAAAACAGTTCGGGATTCGGCGCACAACGCAGCTTTTCTGCATTGCACCACAGACTACTCGATATATCGGGCACAGGCACAACATGAATTACGGGGCTTCTTCTGTTTTACGTTCTCCACGGCCGCCTTTGCAATAAAACATTTATTTTAAAATACGATTGTTCGTCTTCTGTTGTTCTGTGTTGTGCATCCTTTTTTACACCTTTGATATAAAATTGTGTCTGCAACAAACGTGCGTGAATCAGGGTTTAAATGTCAAGGGGTGAGTTTTGAGCCTATTATCCATAAACAAAATAAATGTGTGTCATTCTTCTCATTTAAAGTAAAAGCTGTATAAAAAATATGCTTTTAATATTTGGTTATTTAATCGTGTATTATTGATGTTTAATGTAATCATAAGTAATAATAATACGGTGTGAATAATGCGTCTGTGGCGTGAACTATAAATATTTTACTGTTACACATCACTTTTAATAAGCCACTTAACATACTACTATTTTAACTATGATATTTTTAGATGTTTCACTTCAGCGTTTACAGATGTACACCTTCTGGTTTAATATTGTTATTCTCACTTCTTTATGACAAGCCGTTTTACTATTTAATGTACAATTTTTATACAATTAAAAAAAGAATTTGGCTAGGGATATAAAATTTACCGTATTTAAAATGGTTACAATTTCCATTATGTTAAATTTAATTTAAAATACATTAAATAGTAGTAAAAGGGCTTGCCAACTTTGTCAAATTAATTTTAATTTATTTTTAATATGTCTACATGTTTTTTTATCCTTAAATAATTCGGTTTAATTTGTATGATACCTAATTTTTCTAAAACATATTGTATACATGCCTTGCACATGTTAAATTCATCGTCAAAAATTATTAGAACTGTATGAAAATAAAATGTTACAAGAAATAACTCCATATTGCAAAGGTGTTGATGTTGAATTTAGTTATTTTTTAATAGGTGCACAAATATTTTAATTTTTATTTATAACGATGTAGAATATAATTTTTATTGCTTGAATTAAAATGGTGTATAGCATCATTTTAATTTCTGGAATTAAAATTATGTCGAGTATAATTTTAATTCGTGATTTAAAATTATGTAGAGTATAATTTTAAATGGGCGTACTAAAATGTATGTACATAATTTTAATTCAATTAAAATTATGCACACATAATTTTAATTTCATAATTAAAATTATATACACATCATTTTAATTCCAGAATTAAAATTATACACTAGGGTGGTCGTTAAAAATTAAATGTTTTGCGACGCCCCCTAAAAAGCTTTGTTTTGATGGAAAAACACTGCGAAATTTTTTTAATTAAAAACAACACGTGCCTCAAGACAATCTTAAATTAAAATTATATTAAACATAATTTTAATTCTAGCAATAAAGTTATTCTACATCGTTTTAAATACTTTAATTAATATTACTATAGGGAAAACATTGCAAGTTAACATAAGATTCAAATAAAAATTATAATATTTATAGACGTATTAAAAATAACACTGTGCGACAAATTTTGACCTTACAATTTGAACTGGGATGAAATGTGGAAAAATCGAATCTATGCAACCCCCAAAACTAATCTTTAAAGGGGTTTTGCTAGTTTAGCTCGAATAATGGAAATATACAGGGTGTTTCTTTTAACTTGAGACAGCTCAATATCTCGAGAAATACGCATTTCACGGAAAAATGTCTTAAATAAAAGGTTAATGTGACTAAAGGGGACATTATTTGGTGCTACCGCTAGCCACCCCCTACCCCTCCTTAAGGGTGAAACTTTGGAAAATCAAATGGAATGACCCGATTTTCACAGAGTTTGGTAGTACATAAAAAAATGAATAACTTTTATTTGAAAGTTTTTTTCAATTTTTCAACAGATGACGCTGTAATTCAAAATTTAAGAAAAAGGGGTTTCCTTGTAAAATGTATTATTTGAACGTTTGAAAAACAAAAATTAACATTAAATCAACAATAGTCGGCTCTGAAAACAATTTATAACAAATGTTCGAAATGTCGTCCTTCCATTTCAACACATTTTTGAATGCGGGTAATGAATTCTGGCACACAACGCGCCAACATGTCGGGCGGTATCGCATTCCATTTGACTTTCCAAAGTTACCCCCCGTTTCACCCTTAAGGAGGGGTAGTGGGTGGCTAGCGGTAGCACCAAATAATGTCCCCTTTAGTCACATTAACCTTTTATTTAAGACATTTTTTCGTGAAATGCGTATTTCTCGAGATATTGAGCTGTCTTAAGTTAAAAGAAACACCCTGTATATCTCCATTATTCGAGCTAAACTGGTAAAACCCCTTAAAGGATTTATTTTGGGGGTTGCCTAGATTCGATTTTTTCAGATTTGATCCCAGTTCATTTTTTGTGTTGCACAGTGTAATTCATTGAATTAAAATTCAATATCAACACCTTTCCAATATGTAGTTATTTTTTGTAACAATTTTTATTATATTATTCTCCATGATGTTGAACAAAAATGTGTTGTTAAATGGTAAAACGGCTTGCCATAATTCTTTGAATTTTGTATTTAAGTACCAGTAAGTCATTAAAACTCTTCTTCTAAAATTTTTATTAATTAGGTATAGAGAAAGCTATTCAAAGAATGTTAGAAAAACCAACAAAAAATTACTTCAAATTAAAACACAGTTTATTGTTTTTAATCTGCAGATGACTAACATACCCGCAAATAAACCGCTTCAGTTAAATGGTATTTTCAATTTTGTATTTTACTATCTTAGATAAAAAAAAAAAAAAAAAAAAAAAAAAAAAAAAGAGAGAGGAGGCCCCACCCACATACCCAGTGCCAAACCACTCTCTTTTTCAATTTTTTATTTATTTAAGAGTGTACATAATTATAAAATTTTAGTTATTTAACATATATAAAAGGAGAATTGTATACATTTTGAATTAAAAATTAAATTGAAGAAAGCAAAAATGACATCAGTATATGGTGATTCAATAATAATAAATTATCAAAACAAATGAGAAACTCTACTCAAAAAGATACACATATGTGTTACAAGGTACCTACAACCCTTGTAAGAATTTAAGAAAAAAAAAATAAAAATTAGATTTAATTAACATTTTTGCTTTATCAAGATATTACAAAAAAATTTAATATAAAATAATCTAAAAATAAAGTTGATTTTAATAAATCAGAAATTCATCTATTAATAATATAATCTCAGATTATAGATGAATGTAAAAGTATTTTCAAAAAATTATATTATTTATAAAGAAATAGTAATAATAATATTACTGTATAAAGAAAAGAAATCACTCTCCAGAAAGGCAAATGCAATCAGTTTTACAATAAATGTATAGTTAAAGAGTAATTAATGAAAAGGTAAATCTTCGCAAATGGAAAATGGTGTCAATAAGTCTGTTTTGTTGTTATCAATCAAAAATTTTAAAAGATTAGAAGGTGAAATAGGCCAATAAGGGGTACAATCAATCAAAATTTGACGAGGTTCATCGTATAATGGACAAGCAGAAATTCTATGTAAAGAATCATCAGTGGAATGACAATGGGGGCAAAAAGGGTTCTCCAATCTTCCGACTTTATGAAAATGTCTTCTATATCTTCCATGACCAGATAAAATTGATGATAAAGCTTTATTATGGGTTATGTTCATATATTGTCTTTCAATTATAGAAGGGATAAATTGGTAAGTAAGTCTACCATTAGGGTATGAATCCCATAAAATTTGCCATTTATTTAAACTCAAATTCTGCAATAGTTCTTTAGCTATTGAAATTTTTGGAAAGTTATCAGTCCAAAATGTTCCCAGATGTTCGGCAGGTTTGCATCTTTTGATATTGGAAAGGGCATGTCTTTTGGAAATTTCAATATCAATTGGCATAATATTAGCTATAACGCTGGCAGCTTCATAGGATACATCCTTATAACAACCACTAATAGTTCTAGCACATAGAGCTCTACAAGAGTTCAAATATCTTTCAGATCTTCTATAATGAATATGATTTTTCCAAACTTCGAAAGCATAACCAGTAATAGGAACAACAGCCATAGAATAAATAGTCTGAAGGGCTTGCCAAGGGGGAGCCCATATGCGGGATAAATGTCTTCTTAAAGTTGAGAAAAGTCCTTTAGCTTTTAAACAAACTGTCTTTATATGTTCTTGATAATTCAGTTTTTGATCTAAGATTACACCAAGATATTTAACCGATTGTAAACCTCTTAAGGGAATATTATTTAGTTTAATAGAAGGACGTCTTACTCTTTTACCAGCAAACATAACGTAATTGCATTTATCAATCGAAAAAGATAACTTATTATCATCAGCCCAGCTATTAATACTATTAAGAGCAGAATTAGTAAACTTTTCTAAATCACCTCTATTATCAGCAAAATCTTAGATAAGATTTTTTTATTTACGTTTTAAAATTATTGTGATTTGTTAGTTTATAAACCTTATTTTTGTATTAATGTAATGCATTTTTTCCAAGCAAGTAGAAGGTATAAGAATTATTTAATTTATTCTCATACAATGTGCTCATCCGTTCATTTTTGTTTTAGAATAATGATTTAGATGAAGCTCTCTTCCACAATATGGACTCTTTATTAGTAGATCGCAACGCACAGTCGTCAAAAGTAAGTTATTAGTGTATACTTTTAATATTATATTTTATTATTAGCCTCGAAAATGTAGGTGTTTTTTTGTCAAAAATATTATATTAGGAAATCATTATGGTATGGTATGACATTAAAAACATTTATTTATCTAAAACGTTTTGACCATATTAGAACTTTGTTAATATTCCATAGTATAGGTCAGTCCCGGTTTAAGGGTTCGTAAGGCCCCGGGCAGTATGAGTTTTTGGATCCCCTCAATCCACTAAATATTTTTTTATAGTATTCTTTAAATTTCCAATCCAAACTAAACATTAACTGTTGCTAAATCTTTATTGACCACACGGAAAATAGAAAACAGGAAAAATTACAGTATTAAAAACTGTAAAAAATAAAGTTTCTCGGTGATGTATTTATTACAATATAAAATAATATAATTCCTAATGTCGCCGAATAAAAATTACAGTGCGAACTAACATTTATATAGTTTGCCATTCAAACTGTAATTTTTAAAGCTTGCTAATTGAATTCAAAAAATATAATACTGAATAATAACTTTTACTATTTAAAATAAAAAGTAATGTTAAAAAACATTTTAAAATATTTACATTTTATTTTAACAATTTTTACAGTTTGATGATTGTTTATTACTCATAGAAATTTAAAGTTGAAAGAACAAGTTTTTTATGATGCAAAGAAGTAGATCAACTACTTTTAAAACCGAAATTCGCGTCGCCAGTTGCATCTTCTATCAGGGTCATTTGTCTTTTGCAGTATTAATAGCAATTTCTTATGTTGTGTCATTGAGTTTTTTATCACCTGTGCATTTTTATATAAATTGTTGGTAAGTATATACGTTTTCTGTATTAAATGGCTTGGTCTAATAATATTATTTAGATTTATAAAAAAATTTATTTAGATTAATAAGGTGTTTTTGGATATTCTTTATCTATTCTGTAAAACATTTTCATTTGATTTGCAAATTAATGGTGGTTTATGTTATGTTTAAGGATTTTGTGGTTTATTTGCTATTGAATGGATGCTTTTAATATTAAAAACTAAAAATACATATATACATATTATAATGCATACTAATAAGGAAAATGAGGGAAACTACCAAAAGCAATATCATGAACTGACTCCTTTTAATAATGGATTTTTATTTTTAAGTATGTGTTTTGTGTTGGCTTAATATTTGTTGGCATTGCTTTTGCATATTTTTTTCCATTACACAGTAATTGATTTTAGATTGATGTTAAAAAAAATTTGGACACATGAAAACTTTTTGAATAAGCAGGCCAAAAAAGTTAGCTAAGTTAATTAGCTAGCTAACTGATCAGCTTAACTAATTTAACCGGTTAACTAAATTAGCTTAGCTAATTAGCTGGCGGCTTAACCGGTTAATTTAGCTTAGCTCAGCTAATTAGCTAACGGCTAATTTTTTTAAGCTATATAATGATTTCTTATTCGCGGAAGGTTAATAAAATAATAATATTGATGTTGCTTTTATGATAAACAATAATTTTATTAGGATAAATAATATTTTACATTTTATTTATAAAAATGGCTTTTAAATTAATTGTTAATTTTTTTTCAGTTATATCTCTATTTTGGTAAAGGAAAATTAATAAATTTGCAGTTCCGTTTAGAGCTTATAATATTTCCGGCTGAGGTGCTAGATGACAGGTGACAGATGACAAATGACAGATGACAGGTGACAGATGACAGACGAAATGTGACAGATGATAATTGACAGATGATAGGTGACAGACGAAATGTGACAGATAACAATTCACATATGACAGATTACAGGTGACAGATGACAGGTGGCAACTGACAGATAATAGGTGGAAAATGACACCTGTAATCTGTCATCTGTCAATTGTCATCTGTCACATTTCGTCTGTCACCTGTCATCTGTCACCTGTCATCTATCACCTGTCATCTATCACCTGTCATATGTCACCTGTGTTGTGTCATATGTCAATTTTCATCTGTCACATCTGTCACCTTTTATCTGTCGCATTTATCTAATTGACATATACTTTATTTACAAGAAACAGATGGTACATGTTCATTGTCATGACGTGCACGTCAACCTAACGGTAAAAAATATATTTGCCATAGAATATAAGTTTCTTATAATTTATTTTTATTTATTTTGTACTTAAATATAATTGCCATAGAATATAAATATTCTATGGCAATTATATTTAAGTAAAAATATGTAGTGCCTAAGAATGTATTTTCATTTATTTTTTTACTTAAAAGTAGGTTTATTCATATTTTATTCAATATTTTAAATTTTCTTGTCTAATTTAAAACAAAAAGATTTATTATATTGGTGTAAGTTCCTTAGAATATATTTTTATTTGTTTTTGTACCCTAAATAAGTAAATTGATTAATTAAATATTTTTTGAAATTTTACAAGAAAATTTCATAATATATATATTAGGGTGTCCCTTATTTTTTATTTTTTTACGCATACCCTCTAATTATATTTATTACGTGTTTATATACTCCCAGTAAAAATTTCAGCTCATTCTATAAACGGGAACCCGTGCCGACTTGCATCTGAACCCTCCGTGAGCCAACGTTAGGCGCGCGGTATTTTGTAACACGGTTGGCCGCGAGGTCTTCGATCGTAGGTCATTTTGTGTTTGTTATTATGTGACCCTTATATTATAAATTATTGACAAATGTTAAAATATAGTTTTATTTATGTGTATACTTTGATAAAAATGTATATTTTCACAGGGAGTGGCTAGTTACCCGGAAGGGTCTAGTGAATATGCCGTAAACTCTGAAATTGATAAACTTAATGGGATTTACTCTAAATAACTAAAAGAGTCTATTGTGAGAGATGACTACCGAAAACTGTCTGAAATATTTTTGGGAGGACATCAAGAAAAGAAATGCTTATAAAAAGCTGAAATTTCATATAACAGTATATTTTAGCAATACTAATTAGTATATTAATATATTTAAGGGATAAAATCAACTAAATTAGTGAAACAAATGATAGAAACAAAAGCAATAATATTAATTAGTAATCATATTTAATAAAATCATTAGAAAATTACAGTCATGAAGTATATCTTCTTTTTAAAGTGTTTCGTGTTACAAAATACCGCGCGCTCCTAACGTTGTCTAACGGAGGGTTTAGATGCAAGTCGGCACGGGTTCCCGTTTATAGAATGAGCTGAAATTTTTACTGGGAGTATATAAATACGTAATAAATATAATTAGAGGGTATGCGTAAAAAAATAAAAAATAAGGGACACCCTAATATATATACTATATCTTTTTCATAATATACCTACATTGATATTTTCTTGTCTAATTTTAAAACAATATTTCCTGTGTTATGTTAATTACGTGTAATTTGTAATAAATAAATAAATACAATGTTTTTAAGTTTTAATTATTTAAACCTTATTATTATTGGCATTTAATTAGTATATAGGGCTTTCCACAATATTTAGGAATTTTCATGTTCGTTAATATTAAAAATGCTGAATAAAACCACACGCGTGTAATAAATTATTATTATTATATTAAGATTATTATGCTTACAAGCTTATTACAAGCATAATAAACAATATTTCAAAATAAATTTAATTACAAGTGGTTTTTACTGACAATTTTTAATTGTGGCGGGCAGGACGAAAATTTCTGAGTACCGTGGAATGCCCCATATACTACAGCAAATTTAATATATTTGACATTCTAAAACTACAAAATTTACTATTCAAGCATTAAAGATTGATATTTGAATATCATTTATTAAATCTAAAAATATATTTTATATTATAAAACAAGTGAAATTTACATTTCTTGATTTTTAAATTTTGCTATCTGAAACTGCAAAATTCCCACTACCTAATCTTAATAAAGGGTTAAAAATCAATAAACATTTAAGCAAATTCAAGTACAACTTACTAAATGAAACTGTAATTTTTATTTCTCAGACGCCTGTTCCAAAGGCTTGTGCGAAAAATTACAGTTTGAGATAGTAATTCTTATAATCAAGTCTTTAAGTTTTAAAATATATTTATGATTTGAAGCTACAATATATATGACTTAAAACTGTAATACTTGCAGTATCACGGATATAGTGTACATATTGCAGTTTTGAGTTTGAAGAGATCACTTGCTACCCGAAACTGTAATAAATGCTAAATGCGAAGTTAAGTTTTCCTGTTTTCTTTTTTCCGTGCAGTGGTTTTGTTCTTTTAGGAATTATGAGTTACATTGCATTACATACCAATATTGGTTTCAAAATATAGTCATAAAAAACAATTTTATTCTCAGCAATTAATAACCAAATAAAATAAATAAAAATCCATTCTTGGGTAAATTACACTAAAATTAAATATTACCTCGAATATTACATTCTATTTCGCTTAATTTTGGTTTAAGAAATCACTCGGTTATATATGCGCATACTCATTTTGTAAAGTTAATTAATTTTTGGCCTCTTTTTTTAATATGGATATTTTGGCCAACTTTAGTCGACTATTCAAAAAGTACTTTTAGTCAGATATACCTAGCTCTTAAAATAAGAAAAATTTTAAAATATCACAGAACAGAACACATAGAACCAGAAAGCGCTTTAATTGGCATAGAAACTTGTGTAGCCGAAATCAGGGGAAAGAAAGGTGCGGGAGGAAGAAGTCATGCGAGTACGCTTATCATTTTAGCGATGCGCCGCTTTGATGAAACAGGAGGGTATTCAGGATTTTTTTATTTAATAAATTTATATTATAATCTACATAATATGTACCCTATATCGTGTTGTGTGTAGTGTGCTAAAGAAATATAAAGCTTGGGTCAAGAAATAAAAAGCTTGATATGTTTAATAACTTACTAAAGAACTAATGTCATAAGTCGTCATTTTGTCGCACGCGGGCAATTTATAAAACGAGCAATATAAAACAAACACATTGGTTTGACAGTTAATGTCAAAATCGATTCGCCATGCCGTCCTTAATTTACTTACTTACAATAAGCGGCTGTT